TTCGATGTCATATTATTTACTATAAACAAATCTCTTCAAATAACATCCTTTCCGATAAAGATATAATTATCTTTAATTTCCATCATGCTTTGTTTGATTATTCATCCATGAATATATTTCTTCAGGATCTCGATCAAGCTTACAAAACAGGCCAACTAACAACTAATAATGATACTACTCTACGTTATATCGATTGTAAATATATTGAGTTCTTTTTTTCCTATTCAAACTACATTTTCTTTCTTCTTATTATTTAGATGCTGCTATTGAACAACAAACGTCGATGGGTGGTGCAAGTATGTTTTGGCTTGATGCTCTTCATGACTGTAAACTTCATCAATCTTTATCATTACCATTTGATCGATATCGACTTATGAATGAACATCGAAGTAATCGAGCAACATCTATCTCTTTTGATTTTGGTCAAGATCTTTCCTATCATTTTCTTATGTATGCATCAGCAAACAATATCAAACATGAACATCTAGCACTTGCTATTTACTTTATCTTCTTGTTTAAATTAACGAATGGTGAAAAAGATTTATGTATTTCAATAAATATCGACAATCGTTATAAAGATGAACTAAAATTTATAATTGGATTGTTCGAAAATGTTATTCCATTACGATGTCAACTAGATCCGCATTGGTCTTTCCACCAACTACTTGAGCATGTAAGAGAGACAACAACCAATAGTATGAAATATTCATATTTTCCTCTTCAACGTATTCTCAACCAACATCCAAATGTTTCAAAACCAGCATTTCTTGATATAACATTTCAGTTTCTATCATCTATGAGAAGAGATGAGAAGAATGAAATAATGATTGGTGATAGTCAACTGTCTTCGATACTTACCGTAATGAACACTTATGATAATGAGATTAGAAACAAGTATGATTTCTCACTTCTAATGCAACATGATCTCAATATAAATCAACTCTCATGCACAATCAATGCATCACTTGACTTATTCAATGTAGAAACAATTGGTAACATATCTCAACGATTTCATTCAATCTTAAATCAATTATTTACATCTGTTAATGATCAAATGAACAAATCAATCTATGAATTATCACTAACATTACCAAATGAAACATTACTCATGCAATCAATGAATAATACACAA